AAAACACAAAAAATATATTTTTTTCAAAAATGTCCTCCACTAGAAACAATCATGTATGCTTCTATATTGCTGTAATCCTGAACTTTCTATATTATTCTCCACCACAATTAACAACAAATAAGACAACACTTTTTTCCTTGTAGGATTGATTAACCTAAGTTGAAAAATTACTCCATTTGGATGTTAAGACTAGGGTTGTTCATGGTTATAAAATCAAATCGAATCGCAATTCGAATCAAACCGATTAAAAAAATTGATATTTGGTTAGGTTTGGTTTTAAATTTTGAAAAAAATCGATACTATTTGGTTTGGTTTTGGTTTTACTAAAAATTAACCGCAATAATAACCAAACCTAACTGAGAAGTTATACATATAAATTTTATAATTATTTATAAATAAAATATAAGTATTTTGATAAATTTTAATTAACTTAAGTCTTTAATTTTACTATTTTCTGAAGCTCAACACTTAAATTTTAGCCCAACTATTAAAACCTTAAGTCTAAATCCCTCAATATTCATTACTTTAAAGATCACACTTTCTCTGTTCTTTATAAAATTTTCTAACGCAACATTGAATAATTTAAAGCTCAAGCTAAAGAAGATGGTGATTAGTTTTGACTATAAATTATTGGTTGTTTATTTTGAGAAGTAATTTCTCAATATTTTAAGGTGTAATTTTATTGATAAGATGTTGAGATCTCCAGAATATTGAATCAACTTTGTGCTAGTAACAATGAGTTTTTTTTAGTTTCAGAAACTTGGTACATTGGATGAATCACTTTGTTCGTGTAATAGCTTTTCTGTGAATTATTCATGTACTAAGTGTTTGTGTCTATCGAGATGCATATGTCCTCAACAAACGTATTACTTTCAAACCCAAAAACACCGAAAAAACCGAACCAAATCGATAATAACCAAATCGACGGTTATTTTTTTATTTGGTTTGGTTTGATTTTAGAAATTTAAAAAACGATTAAATTGATTTGATTTTGATTTTAACTAATAACCAATCCAAACCGAACCATGAACACCCCTAGTTAAGACGATTGACATATTACTTTGTAATATATACTTTCTATTTTCGTCATATATCTTTTTCTTATATACTGATGCTAGTGGCAAGAAAATTATTATTTTGTCTTTCCAATAGAAAAACGCAAAACAAGTTGCGTATGACACCGCAAAAAAATCAAAGTATTAGTCAAAACATTATAGTGTATAAAAGACTTATGCCATTGATTTTAAGATATATCGTTATCATTAGAGGAAAATTCAAAATTTGAATTTAGGTCTCATGAGAGGATCCTCTAGCTTTATCAATATCACAATAACATTTTTATGCTTTCCATGAGTACACTATTAATTATATTCTAATTTCTGTCAATTTCTTAAAATAAATAAATATATATATATAAATTATTTTAAAAAAAATTAACCGGTGCACGTGCACCCTCATGTCTGCCTCTCGTTATTATCCTTTCGTGCTCATTCATATCTCTTTTTTTGTCAAGGTGGATGATGGATTAGACAAGACCCCAAAATGTATTCCCTCTGTCCATTTTACTTGTTCATTATTAATTTAACATATTTTTGACAAATTAATAAATTAAAAAAAGATTATAGTATATTACTTTTATTAATTATAAGTCATTTAAATGTTGAAGCTGAATGAATAATATTTAAAAACAAGGATAAAATTGACATAAAATAATAGATTGTCTTTTGATATTCTAACTTTTAAATTAGACAAAGAAATTTGAATAATTATTTTTAATATACTGAACAAATAAAAATGTACATAGAAAGCATATTAATGAAAAAGATGGGAAAGTGCGAGCAGAGAAGGAACTGTTGAAAGGCAACTAGTGAAGATGCCAATATACCTCTTCCTCGAACAATTGAATCTGAATCGATTCTTGCTAGGCTCTTTATAAGAAGGACTATGAAAGTACAGGAGGGGACATAGACCATAACCTCCATACAAAAATGAAGAGTGTACATTACTAATTATTATCACTTTTATAAAATATTTTGAACTATACAAAAGGATGCTATACAATACAAGTAGTCAACACTATTACTTTGCTTTTAAAATCAAACTCCTCCTTTAACTTTGAATAATAATCAAACTCTGAAAGGACTGTCACCGTCAAGTTTAATTATTATTCAAAGTTGAGGAGATAGTTTGATTTTAAAAGCAAATTGAGAGGTGAAAATGATTTTCACCCTTATTGAATTTATTATTTCTGGAAGAGAACAAGCTAAGCTTCATCAAATATGATGTATCACCTTGGATCTTTTTCCATAGTTGGCAAGGTAATTAACAATTTTACTACTTTCTATGTAAGTATACGATCAAGGTGGGAAACTAAAATTGTCAACAAAGATTGGCTGAAGTAGTTGAGAATTGATAATGAAAGATATATAGGGTGTGTTTGTTACGGAGAAAAATATTTTTTAAATTTTCTTATGTTGGATTGGTTAATTTTTTTCTTGAAAGTCAAAGAAAATTTGTTGAAGATATTTGTTGGAACAGTCATACAAATTGTAGTCAAAAGAGGCAAAATAAAAAATAAACAAAGATAATAAAAGTCTCAAAGCTAGCTGGAGTTTCGAATTTTTTTTGAAATAGTCAAACAAATGGTTAGCATAGGAAGCAAAACAAAAGATGAACAGAGTTTGTACAAGTCTAAGAGCACTCTGACATGAAATAGTGTCAACGTTAGAGTTAGGGGTGGTCACGATTTGATTTGGGCTGTTATTGATCAAATTTAAAATAATATCAATTTAATTGATTCTTGAATTATTAAAATTAGGTCAAATCAAATATAATATATATTTAGCAATTTGATTGTTATCGGTTTTGATTCATTTTGATCTGGTTATCAATCATACACGAAAATAAAAGAAATGATTTATTCAAATTTTTTAAGAAAAGACAATAAATAATCATTCAGAAAGAAAAATAGTAAGAACGACTAGCCTTACAAAATTTCTAATCACTGAATTTACTATGAATAATACTCTTAGGGATCGTTTGGTACAAACATTGATAACGCAGGGATTAGTAATGCAGGGATTAGTAGTGCATGGATTATTTTTTGTCAAGTGTTTGGTTCATTATTTTCCACTTAATCTTGTGTTTGATTTAAAACTCTACAAAAAAATTATTTCCTATTATACCCTTGTGTTATTATGAGATTGTTTATTTCATGTAATTGAGTCAAGGTAGATAACCGGACCATAACACTACAATAAAAAAAATTTAAAAATAACAACAAAGAAAAATAGTGTTATATAAATTGAAACAATTTTTTTTCTTTTTTGTGCATAATTAATAACAAAAATTTAATACTACGCAACAGTTGAATAAAATTCATAGTAAACAAAAAAATGCTAAATCTTTATTTATTTATTTTTACAAATTTTAACCTGTATAATTATTGTATATGGCAACCGGATGTTGACAAAAGAGTTTAAACTTATCAAAAATGAAGATCTAAAAATATACTCATACAATTTTATACCAAAATCCCTTACCAGGATAATAATTAATCAAAGTTGTTGTGGGACAATATTTTTTTTTTAGGATTTTCTATTTCATTTAACTAGTTAAGTTAAATATATATATATATATAAATAAATAAAATTTGAGGTATGATGTACCACTTTTTTTGTTGGTCAAGTATATCTTAAACTTAACATAGATTTAAAACTACTTATATTGTTCAATAGCTAAAGCTTATTAAAAAAAATAGTCCAAGTGGTTAATCAATGAACTACATTGAATAAAAAAATATTAATGAAATCATTAAATTACACTAAACGAATTTGGAGAATTAAAAAGAACATTTATAATTATTTCAATATAAATAAAAAGAAAATTAAATTACAAAAGAAATTTAGAAAAATGAATAAAGGGATAATTTTGTCATTTAGGGGTCTTATCCAAGGTTTAATTAGTTATCCCTCCATTTACTAGGGATAAAATAAGACCATATATAATGTATAAGCAATCCATGGATTAAATAAAATAATGTAACCAAACAATGTATTAGATGGATTAAATTTTAATCCAGAGACTATTCTATTTAATACTGCCTACCAAACGAGTCCTTAAATTCACCACTATTGGCCTAAACAAGGTAGAGACAGTGTTATTTCTAATCACACCAAGAAATCTCATAAGTACACATATACACGAAACCAGCAAAATAAATGCTCTTCTCTTGAGTTTTTTTTTGCTTTCATAAATAAATTTATAAATTGATGAAAATATAAAGATATTTAAATTATTAGTTCATAAGAAAATAACATATTATGTATATATAATTATAAAAAAAAATATGTATATAATTTGTCAGTTCGATTCTATTAGATTATTTGTTTAGTCTTTTTAAACAAAATCAAAACCAAATAAAATAGGGATGATTTCATAGACACCCCTTCAAATTTAACTCTATCACACTAACCTTTCTTGTGGTTTATAATATTATGCTCACCTCTGTTATTTTGATTTTCTTGTAACTATTCTTTAAACCTTACTTATATAAATAAAATAAAATAAATGAGTTGTATCTCCGGTGAGCAGAGGTTGACGAGGAATGTGTTGCATTCGAATGCCTCTATTAAGAATATTTAAGTAAGATATTTTGAAATAATTAACTAATAAGATTATGATTAAAAAGGGAAAATTTGTAAGTAAAATTATATTCTATTTATATTTAGTGATAAATAAGGTTTAAATAATAGTTACAAAACAATAAAAATAAAGAAGGAAAGTATAATATTGTAAACCACGAGAGAGGTCAGTGTGGTAGAACTGAATCTAGAAGGAGGTTTATGAAATTATCCCAATAAAATATTATTGATTTTTCAAAATGTAAAACCAATCAAACAAATATTATTAGTTTTTAGAAATGTAAAATCAAATTAAATCAAACCAAATAAAATAAATTTATTTAATCGATTTGATTCAATTTTTATCCGAAACACCCTAGTTGGAGTATAAAAATGGACTCAATCGACAATATTAGTCCACCAGTGAAAAGAAACAACATCCTTGTACTAAACATGGACAAGAAGCCTCATGCAGTGTGTGTACCATTTCCTGCACAAGGTCATGTAATACCCTTCATCAAATTAGCCAAAATTTTGCACTCAAGAGGTTTCTATGTAACATTTGTCAACACTGAATATAACCATAGACGCCTAATTCGATCCCAAGGTCCTGACTTTGTGAAAGGCTTCCAGGATTTTCAGTTTGAAACTATTCTGGAAGGATTGCCACCCTCAGATCGCGATGCAACGCAAGATCCAACTTCGTTATGTGACTCGATAAGGAAGAACTGCTTGACTCCTTTTCGGGATTTACTATCAAAGCTTGGTTCATCACCCGTCGTTCCACCAATTTCTTGTGTTATATCAGATGGTGTGATGACCTTTGCTATTAAGGCTGCACAAGAATTTGGCATCCTTGATGTGCAATTTTGGACGGCTTCAGCTTGTGGTTATATGGGATACCTTCAATTTGATGAACTAATAAGAAGAGGGATTATCCCATTTAAAGGTTCGTCCTCATAGCTATCAACCTCATACTTCATTCGTTTTAATTTGTTTTTCTTAATTTATTTTTTTAGTCAGTTTTTAAAAAATAATATTTTAAACTTGGGAAATATTTTACAACTCTTTAGTTCTAACTTTCTACTTGTAATATGAAATGTTTAAGACAAAGACTTTTATATTTGAGAAAAGGTCTGATATACCCCTCAATTTTGTCATTTATAATTGATATACCCTTATTATTACATAAATGACTCACATATATCCCTATTATTTGTCATATGAATTTATTATTGTGATGGTCAAATTTATTTTTTTCACTTACTTTCTTGTAAAATTTATTATAGATACCTCAATTTATTTTACAGATATAAAAACTAAATTACAATATAACCAAAAAAAAAAGTTTTATATATTTTTCTCTTTTTTCGGTCACAGTTCTTTCTTTTTGTTTCTCTTATTTTTTCACTAAAGAATGAAAGAAAAAATGAAATAAAAATAAGAAACACAAATAATAATAATCAAAAAAGTCGAAAAATAATTCATGTGTGAAAAATAATAATCAAAACACGTGATTTTTTTAAAATTAAAATAATTAAAAATAAATTGTGCCAATTTTATAACGGTAGGGGTATGTATGCCCATTTTTGTAACGGTAAGGGTATATGTGAGTCAATTTTGTAACGATAAGGGTATATGTGAGCAACTTTTATAACAAGGGTATATCAACTCTAAATGACAAAGTTGAGGGTATATCATATCCTTTTCCTTTTATACTTTGTTAAACTCTATATAGATTCAAAATCAGTAAAGTTGTCAAAAAGGGTCAGCCCAGCCCAAGCCTCGAAGTTTATGTAAGTGCCCTATCTTCAAAGGGAGCTGCTGACTTAAGGTATCCCCTAATCCGAGGGTGAGCTAGAATTGCGCAGGTCAAGGAATTTGATGGGCTAGGGCGGGCCATCCCTTCATTTGGAAGGGCTTAAAAATGCTCAACCCAACCCACTCTTAGAAGGGTTGTGGGCTAGGGTGGGCTAGCCATTATTTTTTTCTCTTTTCAAATTTAAAATTCTATAACATCAAGAAAATGAGAAGATTCTCAAATCAAATATGACAAACAATGGTGTTGTTTCAATAACACTAGCAAAAAATCTAGTGTGATTATCATGTATCTAGGATATTACATACGCGAGATACATGTATCTGGTGTGATGCATCCTAGATACGCGAGCGAGATAAAAGAGTGCGAGCAAGATGGGTGGAAGGCGAGGGCGCGAGATTTATCTATGTATCCTAGATAAATGTGAATCCACTTGGATAGAGCGTATCTAGACAAATTACACCTAATTTTGAGTCCATGTATCCCGAGATACATGTATTTGGATGCACCAAAATCTGGTAAGATTTGTAATATTACAATATAGTGTGCATCTAAGTAATTAGCTCATACACTAGTGAGATTTCTATAAGTTACCCTTAAATAAATAGTCTTGATCCATGAGCCGACCCCATCCCGTCCCCGATCAAGCATCAAGGGCCAAAGGCTTATATGAGTCAGGCTTATAAGCCCTAATTTTAAATGGACTTGAAAAATCCCATCCCAACCCTATCCTAATAACATATTGGGTTGGGCCATCCCTATGGCTAAGCCCATTTTGACGATTCTAAAAAGGGAAAATTATGCATTATATCAAACTATTAATTCAAAATAAATGTTATAGCTACATTTTCATTTAATTCTAATTCGTAGCAAACACTTTGTCATTCAGAACATCTCACTCGCCACTCTCTCGCTCGTCTCTCTCATTTTATACAAACACAAATGTACAAATTGTGTTTGTGTTTGTATAAAACGAGAGAAAACTGAATATACAAATACATATTTTTTCGTCCTATACACTTTTAATTATACAACACAAATTACAATGTATAATTTGTGTTGTATAAAGCGAGAGAGAGAGATTTGATATACAAATATTTTAATTCGATTCAATTGTATACAAATTCAAATTTTATGCAAATATACAAACATAAATATACATAGTAGTTACATATAGACAATTATCTAACCGATATTCATATACAATCGTTGCGCTTTTATACAAACGAGATGTTTGCCTGCAATTTATACAAATCAGATATTCCATAGCAAACTAGCGCAAATAGCAAAACTATAGCTATAGAGCTAGCGCTAATATGATTTGTATGTTTGCTATTCCTAAAATTTGTTCTTCAAAAAACCAGCAAACAAATTGAAACAGATGTAGATAGAAGTTATTAGTAATAAGTTCATTTGAACTCAATATTTTCGATATGAAACTCTATATGTATGAAAAGCTATTTCTGAAACAGATGACAGTTTCATGGAGGATGGTACACTTGATACAATTGTCGATAGGATTCCAGGAATGAGAAACATTAGGTTGAAGGACTTGCCAAGCTTTATCAGGACTACTGATCCAGATGATATACTGTTAAACTATTTAAGTGATGAAGCACAAAATTGCTTGAAATCTTCTGCAATGATCATCAACACATTCACTGAATTGGAACGTGAAGTCCTGGAAGCGATTCAAGCTAGATTCCCAAATATTTATGTTACAGGTCCACTTTCATTGATGGAAAAAACCATCCCAGAAAACGAATTGAGTTCATTTAGGCCAAGTTTATGGAAAGAAGAATTTCTATGTCTTGAGTGGCTGAACAAACAGGAACCAAGTTCTGTAATCTATGTGAATTATGGATGTGTGACATTAATGTCAGACCATCACCTTAAAGAATTCGCGTGGGGACTTGCAAATAGCAAACACCCATTCTTGTGGATAGTTAGGCCTGACATAGTGATGGGTGATTCAGCCGTATTGCCTGATGAGTTTCTTGAAGAGATTAAAAACAGGGGATTATTAGCAAGTTGGTGCCCACAAGATCAAGTTCTTTCCCACCCATCTATTGGCGTTTTTCTAACACATTGTGGATGGAACTCTACAATTGAAAGCATAAGTTCAGGAGTTCCTCTAATTTGCTGGCCATTCTTTGCTGAGCAACAAACAAATTGTAGATATGCTTGTGCGGAGTGGGGAATAGGTGTTGAGGTCAATAAAGACGTAAAGTGTCAAGAAATCGAAGCAATTATTAAGGATATGTTAGAAGGTAAAAAAGGTAAGGAGTTGAAAGACAAGGCGTTGGAGTGGAAGAAGAAAGCAGCAGAAGCAACTGATATTGGAGGGCCTTCATGGAAACACTTTGATACATTCTTGGAAAGACTTCTCCTTAATAGGGAATAGTATTAAAGGAAAATTTTCAACACTTCAAATAAACAATTTCCAAGCAAGAGAAAGGACTAATAAGCAATATATAGTAAGCTAATATTGTTTCCTATAAACAAATTGTCTTAACTAAATCAGATCGTTTGATAGAGTGTATACAAATAATGTGAAATAGAGTATATTAGTAATGTTTGCATTAATAATGTTTGTATTAGTAATATTTGACATTAGTTATACATAAATTATTTTGTATGTCTTGTTTGGTTTGATATATTAAAAATAAGGAAAAAATGCTTGAAATATATCTGAACTTTGACCGAAATTGTTGTAACGATACCGAACTTTGGAAAGGACCCTTTACCCTGCTGTACGATTTAATAGTGTATTTTAAAGGTATATATGTGTCCACGTGGACATCATAAATATTGCATCATTATAAATAGTAATGTGTCCACGTGGGCACATATATACCTTTAAAATATACTATTAAATAGTGCAGGGGTAAAAGGTCCTCCATAAAGTTTGGTATTGTAACAGCAATTTCGGCCAAAGTTGGAGTATTTTTCAATCCATTTTCCCTAAAAATAACATGTGTTATATAAAAAAAAATATTTACAAATATAACCTTTACAATTATGGTGAAAATGATGTAAAAAATATTTTGAGGGGCAATGGTGTCTTTAATCATGCTAATGCATTGTTGCTCCCAATTGCACACGCAAGTGTACGCGGTCGCGCAAGTAATATAGTGGCTCTTAAAAGAACCAGATTATCGAACCCAAATGACTCGTCAATTAACTATTTTTACTAAATTATACTGATCTAATTATTTATTTAAGAGAGCCAAAAGAAAAGAATGCAAGAACAAAATAATAAAATTACTTACAATAGTTGGAAAATCCCAAGGCTGCAGCATGTATTGGATTTCATGTATCATATTTTTCGCTTAGAATTAATTTCAGTTGTCAAGTTACTGGTTTATAGGGTTGATGATATGATCCGAGTTATACGCCTCTCGTCGCCTACCCCAGTTAGCTATCTAACTACATCGTTGAGCGGGGATAAATCACTACTAAAAAAACAGTGAATACCGACCTAAAAATTTCCGACCTCAAATGGAGGTCGGTAATTTCCGACCTCCGGAGGTCGGTATTTACAAGTAGTCGGTTTTTATTCAAAATAAAGAGGGAAAACCAAATTCCGACCTCCGGAGGTCGGAATTTTTCCCGGAAAAAATGAATTACAATAAAAATACCGACCTCATGAGGTCGGTATATTTTATATTTAATTGAGAAAATAATACCGACATCAAGAGGTCGGTTTTTATTGTAATTCATTAAAAATTCCGACCTCAGGAGGTCGGAATTTTTTCTCAATTAAATATTTTATAATTCCGACTTCCGAATGTCGGTAGTATGTAATTAAAATACCGACCTCATTAGGTCGGTATTTTTATTTCATCTAATTACTATTAATTAAAGTGACATCCGGAGGTCGGTATTTTTATTTCATCTAATTACTTTTAAAAGCGACATCCGGAGGTCGATTTGCGGAAAGCGGGAAAACCAAATTCCGACCTCTGGAGGTCGGAAATTTTCTCGGGAAAAAATGAATTACAATAAAAAGCGACCTCTTGATGTCGGTATTAAAAAAATAAATAAATAACAATATTTTATTTTTTCTCAATAGGTTTTGTGTAAAATAAAAAACAAAAAAAATTATAATACCGACTTCCGTATGTTGGGAAAATTAAATAGTAAAAATAAATTAATATAAAATACCGACCTCATGAGGTCGGTATTTTTTATATTTATTTGAGAAAATAATACCGACATCAAGAGGTCGGTTTTTATTGTAATTCATTAAAAATTCCGACCTCTTGAGGTCGGAATTTTTTCTCAATTAAATATTTCATAATACCAACTTCCGAATGTCGGTAAAAATTAAATAGTATGTAATTAAAATACCGACCTCATGAGGTCGGTATTTTTATTTCGACTATTAATTAAAGCGACATCCGGAGGTCGGTATTTTTATTTCATCTAATTACTTTTAAAAGCGACATCCGGAGGTCGGTTTGCGATTTGCGGGTAAACCAAATTCCGACCTCAAGAAGTCGGAATTTTTCCCAGAAAATGAATTACAATAAAAACCGACCTCTTGATGTCGGTATTATTTTCTATTTTGATTTAATTTTATTTAAATCATTTTCCGGAGGACCATTTTGTGTTCTTAAAATTTAATGTGATACATATATATATATATAAAATCAACCTCAAGAGGTGAGTTTATATTAAAATAAATAAATATATATATATATATATATATATATATATATATATATATATATATATATATATATATACATAGATGTATATATATGTATGTATACATATACATAGATGTATATATATGTATGTATACATATACATATATTATATGTTGATGTGTAGTTTAATTATATATGTTTAATTAATAAAATCAACCTCAAGAGGTGAGTTTATATTAAAATAATTATATATATATAATTATATATATATATATATATACACTAGATATAGGACCCCGTGCCAGCACGGGGCCCAATATATATTTTTTATTTATTTTAATTTATGTCATATTATGAAATTTGAGAAGTTATTGAAATTTTTATATGATTTTAATAATATTTTAAATTGTTAGCTATTGTGATTTGTAGTACTTTTTTTAACATAATTTTGAAAATAATAGTTATTACTCTCTTTGTTCTAATTTATGTGGCACATGCAGAATTTTAAATATTAACCCTTTTTTATATGTCTCTTTAATATATTAAGTTGTTAATTATTGTATTTTATAGTACATTTTGAACTTAATTTTTAAATAATATATGTTATTTCCCATGTCCCAATTTATGTGGCATTAATTGATAGATTTGTTGGAGTCGAGCGAATTTTTTTTGTTAATTATTGTAATTTATAGTTTCTTTTTTATCAATTTCAAACAATATATGTTGTTAATTGATAGATTTTTTGGAGTCGACTATTTTATTTTTTAATTATTGTAATTTATAGTATCTTTTTCGTCAATTTCAAACGATATATGTTTATCAGATAATCCATTTTATGTGGTACCAATAGAATTTAGAGAGTCAATTAAATTTTTTATATAACTTTGAAATATTTAAGCCGTTAATTATTGTAATGTATAGTATTACTTATATTATTTTTAAATATATTTAAATATTATATGTTACCTTTTTTATCCTAATTTATATGGCATTGATAGAATTTAAGTGTCAAATAATTGTTAATTATTGTAATATAATATGTAGGACTTTTTATGTAGTTTTTACTATTTTTAAGCATATTAAGTATAGTATTACTTATATTATTTTGAAATATATTTAAATATTATATGTTGCCTTTTTTATCGTTATTTATATAGCATTGATAGAATTTAAAGTGTCAATTAATTGTTAATTATTGTAATATAATATGTAGTACTTTTTATGTAGTTTTTACTATTTTTAAGCATACTAAATTGTTAATTATTTATATATACTACTTTATTTTTTATTTTAAAAATATGTAATCAAGGAAAAATGGTGACACATGATAATTAAAATAAAGAAAAACACAATTATTGGTCAGCCGCCATGAGAAAGGTGGTGGGGGCCACTTTAATTAATTAAAGAGTAGTAGATTTGATGGATATATGTGTCATTATGGAGATGTTGGATGGTTTTTTTGTCTAAAGAAGAAAAGGTACAATTATAAAGCATTGACATACAAAAGTTTTAAGGAGCAAAAGCTAGTAAATACCAAAAATACCCCCATTTAATTCAGCCAATTTATTCATTTGTAGCTTTTTGTTGGGGTCCAGTTCAACCCTTTTTTTTTTCTTTTTTTTGCCACGTGTCGACGGAAAAGAGGATCTTTATTCACTCTTCTTATATAGTAATATATATATATATATATAAAATTTAACTACACATCAACAGAAGTTTAATTTAATAAATTTACATATATATATAGATGTATATATTTACATATATATATATTTATATACATATATACATCTATATATATATGTAAATTTATTAAATTACATATATATATATATACATAGATGTATATATATGTATGTATACATATACATATATTATATGTTGATGTGTAGTTAAATTATATATGTTTAATTAATAAAATTAACCTCAAGAGGTGAGTTTATATTAAAATAATTATATATATATATATATATATATATATATATATATATATAAATAACAATATTTTATTTTTTCTCAATAGGTTTTGTGTAAAATAAAAAACAAAAAAATTATAATACCGACTTCTGTATGTCGGTAAAATTAAAGGGTAAAAATAAATTAATATAAAATACCGACCTCATGAGGTCGGTATTTTTTATATTTAATTGAGAAAATAATACCGACATCAAGAGGTCGGTTTTTATTGTAATTCATAAAAAATTCCGGCCACAGGAGGTCGGAATTTTTTCTCAATTAAATATTTTATAATTCCGAGTTCCGAATGTCGGTAGTATGTAATTAAAATACCGACCTCATGAGGTCGGTATTTTTATTTCTTCAAATTACTATTAATTAAAGTGACATCCAGAGGTCGATATTTTTATTTCATATAATTACTATTAATTAAAGTGACATCCGGAGGTCGGTATTTTTATTTCATATAATTACTATTAATTAAAGCGACATCCGGAGGTCGGTATTTTTATTTCATCTAATTACTTTTAAAAGCGACATCCGGAGGTCGGTTTGCGGTTTCCGGGTAAACCAAATTCCGACCTCATGAGGTCGGTATTATTATTTCTTCAAATTACTATTAATTAAAGTGACATCCGGAGGTCGGTATTTTTATTTCATATAATTACTATTAATTAAAGTGACATCCGGAGGTCGGTATTTTTATTTCATATAATTACTATTACTTAAAGCGACATCCGAAGGTCGGTATTTTTATTTCATCTAATTACTTTTAAAAGCGACATCCGGAGGTCGGTTTGCGGTTTCCGGGTAAACCAAATTCCGACCTCCTGAGGTTAGAATTTTTAATGAA